ATCCTCGGCGTCGACATATCGAGTGACTTGCAGTTTCGTGGTCACTTGGAAGAGAAGGCCAAACTGGCATCTTAAAAGCTTGGCGTGCTCAGCAGAGTGGGACAGTATTTCATGCCGGCACACCGCCTTCAACTTTACACGGCGCAGGTTCGGCCGCACATGGAATACTGTTCCCATCTCTGGGCTGGGACTTCCCAGTACCAGCTCCTTCCACTTAACCGCATTCAGCGCAGAGCGGCTCGAATCGTCGACGACCGAGTGCTTCCCGATCGGCTCGATTCACGGCACTGCGAAGAGATGTATCTCTTTGCATTTTCTTTCGCATATACCATGGAGAGTGCTCTGTGGAATTGTTCGGATTAATCCCAGCCGCCAAATTTCGTGAACTCACTACGCGGCAAACGTCCCGACGTTTCCTTCAAGAAAAGAGCTTACTTCTTTCTAAAGGGTCGGCAACGCACCTGTAATTCCCCTGGTGTTGCGGTTGAGCATGGACGGCGGTAGTCACTTAACATCAGGTGAGCCGCATGCTCGTTTGCCTCCTCTTTCTATAAAAAAAGGCCACAAATTACAGACCCAATATATTTTGTTTATGACAAATATGATCATCTCTTTTTAACGCCTGTGGTGACAGAGTAAACTTTATTTCTGGGTTGAGGTTTGGAGGTAATATAAGGCAATCTTTGATTGTTGGGAATGTTTTTAAAATGTCCTCACCTGATTTTTCCTCTAACCCTTATAACACCTAACACTAATAATTTTATCGATTTCCTCCACATGGCCCATTTTTTGAAGAAAATTTGGAATATTATTATAGTTACTACAAGAGGGCATATTTTTCACATTTACTATATTCCACCACATTCGGATGATTTCCAGTAATTGACCAGTACTCTGACTCAGTTTTTGATTTCAAGGCACTTATAGTTGAGTTGTGAAATAGATTATCAACTAAAGTCACATTTTGTCACTAACTTTGAAGGATATTATGTCTTAGAATTTAATTTGTAAGCTTTTTTTAAACAGCGTTCGCCTTCATCTTTATACAATTTTTCAATATCATCAAAACAAGCCATTTTAATTTGATCTGTTTCAAAATCATGAAACATGAATGTTTTTCTTGGGGAACGTAGGTTTAACCAGTTATTTCTGATATTTTTGAAAATGTGAACAGAGTCATACAGAACATAAATAGATTTGCCAGGATAATTTGGATTTAAGAATTGAATACCATCCCCTGCAATAAGCTTGTACATATTTTGGCTCACCCTATTGTTATCTGTAATTTTGCATAATATTTGGAAACCAATGAGCTTGATAAAATTTATAACTTCTAAAGTGTAATGTTTAAGATGATGTCCAGTGAGTGAATTAACAGGTATTTATACGCACAATTTCTTTAAATCGACTAAATGTAGAAGAAACCATAAAGCAAACAACAGTTCTGGCTAAATCATTAGAGTTGTTATCAGCATATCCAGTCACTTTTTTACATTTATACTCTAGCTTACTGTTGACATAAATCTCATCAATACATAAATTGACTACCTTTTCTCGTGAATCTAATTTGGTATACATAACCTTTAAATAATTATTTGTGTTTTCTAAATTACTTGGGTTAACATTGAAGGAAGATCAAAGATATTGTAAATACATTTTATGAGGTAAAAACAAAAATCGCCTTATTAAGTTATAGCTCGACTGGGATATGCAAAATATCGAGAAAGCAAATATAACAGTTGATATACTGTAGCGAGGCTGTTTTAAAGTACACAACTTAAGTTGGGCCTTAATCAAATTCAATTGCTTGCATTCTTACTCGTCAGAGAATTGAAGAGCAGTTTCTAGCTGTTCTTCTGCTTTCTTCATATTAAATACAAACATACTCTCAGTACTGGTAAAAGGGCTATCTTTATACCTGTCTAACAAATTCTTAAGTTGTGACCACTTAAATAAAGTCAAGGAATTTGTAAGAGTCCATTTAATATCATTTGGGGGAAGCTGTGTTTTACCTATAAATAGTTTCACACTGAGATCAGAGTCTATGCAGATACTATTTAATACTCTCACATTTTGTGAATCTTTATTATTAAAATCTATAATAAATACATAAATATTTTTTCTTCGAATACCTTTAAATTCCAACCGCTAACTTTTGATTTCAATTCGAAGAAATCTTTGATTAAGTCCTTTTCTTGGGTTTGCCTATCTATTTCTTCACGACGCTGCTCACACATCTATCTCCTTTTCGAGGGATCCATCCTAGATGTTTTTTTTGTACTTAAATACTTAGGCAGATTTGGGAATATATGAGGCACTGCACCGGTCACTAATTTGGGATTTTTCAGAGAAACAACTTCATAAGATCCATTAGGATTTAGCACTTTTTCACAACGTATAACTTCACTATCACTAAAATGTTCACTGCAGACGAATGAACCTTTAGAGGGCTCCCAGTTAGCTCGTGGTATCGCCTTTTTGTGTATCGAAAAGAAAATGTCGATACAGGTCCTTCTCCTCTCTTAAGAGTAGAATCGTAATTCAACTTACAACCGGGAACACAGCAACGACGAGGCATCTACAAACAAATAATATAATTATTTAAACTTATATAATATCTCCTATATTATTTACCTTACGCTTGTAATAATTGTAACTTCAAATTATCATTAAAACTTCAATAGTAATGTTACATACATACCTTTTAATAGCAAAAACGGTTAAAAGAGTCACAGCAGTCTTATTTAAAGAAAAAGCCATGAAATTGATGAGAAAGATAGAAACAAATCTCCGGGCACAAATAAAATGACGTGTTATCCAACTAACTTAACATCTACAGCCAACTTGTACAAAATCTAATAACATCATCACCAATGCTAATGTGTCGCATAATATTATGTATCCTAAAATAATGGTTACCAGTGAGTGTGTAAGTTCATTACGTTCGCTTAGTTATAAATTAGTCGTATAGCCATAAGTGCGTCTGTTACAAAATAGACTTCGTAAATACATAGGTTCACGGGCGACGTTGCTTGCTCTCTCACAGCACGGCTTGTGAGAGCAATATAGAAGGCTATGTTCAGCTTCATCTGAGAAAATATTCCAGAATTAATTTATCATTGAAGAAATTTATCTGCATATTCTTCATCACTGCATACACAGTTTAACTCAATAATTTTAACAGAATATTTTTCTTTGATGAAATGAAACTTAATGTCTATGTGTTTTAATCGTTTGTGTGAGTTTAGGTTTTTAATTACACTTATGGCACTTTGTTTACCTTAGGTCAAGCATACTAAATCTAAATATTGTAAAGCGCGTATTTCATCTGGGAGGCGGCGCGGCTTCGAACCTACACCAACAGATTCTAACGCGAACGGTCTACGAACCACGTCGTGCAACCGCGCAGGCGCATTCACTGTTAGAATTGTCGAGAGAGAGATCGATAGTTATCGATATTACCGTGAATTAAAATCACTTACCATATATCTGTGCACACACCATCCAAGCGCAGTTTGAGTTATATACGGCTCACGTTGCTTACCACGAAAACAACGAATAGAAGTAATTAGGTGATGATTGTCCTGACCAATTAATAATTTTGGCTTTGCGTTACCATTACATAACATAAGATTTTCACTTAAGAGTCCATAATTATTAAAGTGCATATTCGACACCTTTTGTGTCGGCAAATTACATTCTTTAATTGTATTAATTGCAAATTACATTACGCGCACGGAAAGTAAACAATTCGTTATGCGAATTAGTTACATTTTTTCTTCTTTTTTTAGCTTTTAGCTTCTTTAAATTATATTGGGCTTGAATATGACTTACTCCTGATGCGGCTGTTTTAGCGGCTTCTCCATATAAAAAATCACTAAGCAATACTGATTTTGGTGAATTACACTCTCGTCGTTCATAAATACATAGTCGGTCCATTTTGCGACAAGTAAAGTTGGAAGCTTGGATACAACAATAGATACTGATTCCGGGCTGCGAAGATAATCACCTTGTTGCATAGTTTTGGCAGCGGCCACATAGTACTTTATTTTTATAGCGAAGTTAATAATAGCACCTTTTAGATAAAAAGAAAGAATTATCATAATCGGTTCACCTAGAGAAATGTTCTGAGGAACACACATAAAAAATACAGTCAAATTGAGAACCTCCGTCTGTTTTCAAAGTTATTTGAAAATTATAAGAATATGGATTTAAATTTAAGACCGATCTTATAATTAAAGAGATAAATATATGTAACATTTGTATAGCGTTTTCTCTTTCGAAGATTTTAGCCAAAACAAAACAAAGACAACGCGAACCCATGAGCAAAGCCATCTCGTCATTTAATGACTGTCAATATATGACTTGTGATGGCTTTGCTCACGGGGTGTCCACTTTGAAAAAACATCGATGTTTTTTTTGATTCGATACATCTTAACTATACATCGATGTCTTTCGATGTATCGGATGAAAATATCGATGTTTTTTAAACATCGAGTACTTTTTTAAAAAATTTATTACAAAACTCAACTAATGTGGAAAGTGACCCATGTCAAAAGGGGCCATCTTTTTATAGTAAATATTTTTACAATTGAAGTTTATGAAAAGAGCTAAATTCATTGTTTTATCATAATTTAGATATTAATCTTTCATAAAATAAAAACTTAAAAAGAATTAACCCCTTTCATAATGAGTAAGTAAAAGTAAAAGGCATGTATCAGAAAAATCTGTATTATATTCTACAAAAGATCAAATATAAAAAACCCGCAAAATTTTTGCCAAGTCTGTCAAATGAATATTAGAAATATAATAGAATTAACGTCCTATATCCAGGGTTCTTTTGGAAGACTTTGCAAGAACAATAGTTTATTTAAACGTTTGCCTTTGAGTCTATTTTGTTGTTTAGAAAACAAACGTTCGGATAGAACTGAAGTTCCTACCACGGTTAAATATTTGTATGCAATTGTGTAAAGTTTAGGTAGCTGAATCTTTAGATCATTCTAAATTTCTAAAGGATTCTCATTTAATCTGCCTACTGGGCTACGTAAATAAATAGATAGTTCATCAGAAATAGAATCGTCAGATTTCATCGTCTTCCAACTCTTATGGACTAATTTGTGGTGATTGCCCCATAGAGAAAATGTATCTTCGGCTTTGTCAGAAAGATCTGAAGAATCAGATTCCACGACGTCATTTTGTATTCTAGTTTTGATCATTTCCTTGATTTTTGTAAAAGCCATGTAGCAAGCGAGTGAGTCCGTGAAATGCATTTTCTTAAACCTGGGATCCAAGATTGTGGCTACAGCAAGAGGTGTTACTCTCTCTATAAAACCCATTCTTTTGTCAATCTCTTTCAGGATCAACGACTGCAATTCTTGGGCAACAGACTCTTCGACTTTAAGAGGTTGAAGTTTTAAAAGAAGACAATGGATAACTTTTGATGCTAGTGCAGAACTTATCACCTTACACTTCCTTGTAGTTAGGTTAGTCCTTGTTCGTCGCAGAACTTGTAATACCGAAAAAAGAATAGATAATTCTGACGCAGTAAGCATTGGTGGTGAATTTTTATGACCAATGATTATATTATTGACGACGCTGCGAAGCTCTAAAATCACTCAATCATATAATAAGTACTGTTCCATCTTATTGGAACGTCTTGTATCAATTTCGTTTCTTTCTGGGTTGCTTTACGTTATTCGTTACTGGCTATATTGCTTTGTTTAAACCAAGTTACAATTTCTTTTAACTTGGTTATCAAGTTTCGCAGATTAGTACACTGTTGTACAGCATTTTGTTCTACCAAATTAAGGGTGTGGATGAAACATGGTATATGTTTTTTTCCAAAAGCTAAACGACAGCTTTTACCACGTTTGCTGCGTTGTCTGTGACCATAACTGAAACTTTGTCTTTATCTATATCCCATTCGGCACAAGTTTTTAACAGCATTTCAGATATGTGATCTGAAATGTGGCGTTTATTTGACTCGTAAACTCCAAGAGTGATCGAGAAAAGATCATTACCTTCACCGAAGTGTGCTGTTATTCCTAAAAAACTTCTCATGCTCATCGTTTCAGACCACATGTTAGTAGTTAGAGTAATGTTTTCAATATTTGACAACTTCTCTTTGAAGATTTCTGATAATGCTGTGTATTTATCATTAACCCATCGAGTCAATGTTGTTTTACTGGGAAGTTTATAATGCGGCGCAAGAACTTTAATTAAATGGCGAAAGCCTTCATTTTAAACAATTGTAAATGGTTGATTGTCTTTACATATCATATATATTAGGGCATTGTTTATTCTTAATGTTTTATCACCTCTCTCTGAAAAAGCGTAAATTTATTCAAAACTTGACACAATAGACTTCTGACGTTTTGGTGCTGGAGGAATAGAAATACATACATCATCTTTTGAAGAGTCACATTTTTATCAGCGTCACTAGTTGATTCTATTATAACAGCAGAGCGATGGTAGGATCAGTACTGTGTATTTTTCTCAATGCTCTGAGTATTGAATTTTTAGAACATTCTTTATTAAACTCCTGAAAAGCAGCTTTATGTATATTTTTAAATGACCAATTAGATTAGTTGTATTGCCACAAGATTTTATTAATTTTTCACAAAGTCTACACTTTGCAGTCATTTTTTCCTTCTATTTTATCGTAAAACCTCCATACATCACTCTTCTTGGAAGGTGCCATCGTCGTGTTGTCACTCAGACTGAAATAAAAATAGTTTTTTCAATATAGTATATTAATAAATTACTTAAAATCAATAAATTCATCAATCTAAAATGCACCTCACTACTATCAAAAGTTTGTATAAACTTAGCATTAATGACGCCGAACGGAATGATGCCGACTAATAATAATAATAAGATAATGAAAAGATTTTTTATATGTCATCGATAATGTATTGATTTGTTAATCTAGGTATACAATGCAATTTAATGAATGAATAGCTAACTAAAATGTAATTTAAGATGTAGATAGGTAAATAAATAATGTGTGATTGTGTGTGTTACAGGGAAAGTACCTAATTTACTAATCTCAAAATTACTAACACTAGGTATTTTATTCTAAATTACGAAATTTACTGTTACGCTTGTTGACATGATAATATCAACTACAAAATAAAAATATAACCTTAGTTATTTCAGTCCCATCAAATATGTGAGCTCACGAAAAGATGAGGTTTTATTGTAATGAGTACGTATATTAATATGTTATTATGAATTACACACTTCTCTATTTTGTTTCACAAAACCAAATGTATTTAAATGTTTATAAACATAGAAACTCGCTCTACAGCCGACATGAGTAACATGAGAAGTCGGGTAAGAAGTAGTTTTTTTATTGTCACTGCACTGACTCTTGCGCAGTGCTGCCAACATCGAATCCATATTAGAGAATTCAGAATAATGATGCGTTCATAATAGTTATAAGTAAAGTTTTAGTGGTCAAACTTAAGAGGGCCACACACGCTAGGTAATGCTTGTCAGTTTTGCCTGTGCAAGCAAAACCGACTGGCTCGACCGAGTTTCATGGGGCACACACACGTAACGACAAACCTGCAAAAGCTCTCAGTCACCATCATGCCACCGGCAGCGGTGGTTGATGCCGACTCAATAGCGCTCATGGGATTATTATTTGTAATTTTGAGGACACAAAAAGGTAAAAAACGAAGCCGTACAGAGTGGTGCAAAAAGTGGTTACAGAAAAGGAGAAAATACAGCCATGTCAACTTACTAAAGGAATTAACATATTATCCGAAAGATTACCATAATTATTTACGTATGGACGAAAAAACTTATCTTACGCTGTTATCGAAGTGACTCCATTAATTAAAAAGCAGGACACCATTATGAGAATCGCTATATCACCACACGAGAGGTTAATTAACTTACACTCTTATTATCTTACTGTGACATTGAGATTTCTTGCCACAGGACGCCAAGAATCTTAAAATATTCGCCTTAATATCGCCGCAAGCTCTAGGCAAAATTATACCTGAAACGCGATGCAATTTATAAAGTTTTACAAAAGGATTATCTAAAGGTAAGTGTAAAATATCATTTGATAAGTAGATTAAGTTTTTATTTAGGTAAAACATACAAGAACATATTAGAACACTACTCTTCTAATTATATTCAAAATTTGAGTAATAACGTGACGCTGTAACAGAATCTTCTTCAATTGTTTGTTGTACTTTCGTATAATTATTCATTGCGGATGATGTAGAAGGGAACTGGTTCTGAGGTGAGTCAGTCTTTTCTGGAATTGATAATTGTACCTCGACAGGAGGGTTGGTTATTCATTGCGCGTGCTGTAGAAGGAAGCTGTATGAGCAAAGGGTTCTGAGGAGAGTTAGCATTTAATTGAGTATATTGAAATTGTTGCATCAATGACGGACTTGCGCTTTGTGTATGATGTGGGCTATTACTTGAGATGGATGTCGAACTTGGAGAATGTATGTATTGGCCTCTATGATAGTGTGGAATATTCCTGTTCTGGTAACTTTTTGTGCTTAGATTTCCCATCTCTCCTTCAAACAAAGTATCACTTATTAGTTTTTCAGCTATGAGCCGCTGGCGTTTTTCCATTGCCCTTAATTTCAAGGCTATGGATTTACCTAGCAAATCATACCGGTCCTCTTGCGGTGGCGGTGAAGCTGCAGGTCGTTTAAAATGATCCCTAATTGAAGTTAATAGTTCGTTTGCTAATTTATCTGGCTCGTTGTTTTTTTTACCGGGTCTTGATATCCTTGGTTGTTTCTCGGCTGGCTCCTGCTGCTTTTCTTGAGATACAGAGTTTTGTGCTGTATTATCTAGAGTTACTTCTTTATCCAAAGTTGTGTTTTCATTAGTATCCCCGATGTCAGCAATTTCTTAAAACAATAATTTTTGTTACAGTTTCTTAATTCATCTAAAAAATGGAGAAATATAGCGCAACAATTTGACGAAAGGTGGAATATTTTATATAAAATAATTCCACCTGCTGACAGCGGATCATATTACTATAATTATAAAAAACGACACAGTATGGTGCTTATGGCAATAGTAGATGCTAATTACGAATTTATACTGGTTGATTTTGGTACTAATGGCAGAATTTCTGATGGAGGCGTTTTACAGAATACCAAGTTTTTTGAAATGCTCCAGGATAACAAAATTGAACTTCCTAACGCTGAAGTTGTCTAAAACAGCTCAACAAGTCTCCCATATGTATATGTTGCTGATGACGCATTCCCTTTAAGAACCGATATGCTAAAACCATTTCGACAAGCTGACTTGCATTCACACGAAAGAAGGATATTTAATTATAGATTGTCTCGCGCTAGACATATTGTTGAGAATGCTTTCGGTATTCTAGCATCTAGGTTTCGAATATATCATACTGTAATAAATCTAGAGACAAAGAACATAGAAAAAATAGTGATGGCAACATGTGTATTGCATAATTATTTAATGAAACACGTAGGAAGTTCTTATGCGCCCCGGGAATGTTTTTATGAAGAAAATACTGCAAATGGTACTATCATCACGGAAGGCTATAATACTACCGATATGACTATGGTAAACTTGCAGCGAAGCCAAGGAAACATTTTAAATTATGCAAAACAGGTGCGAGATAAATTTACTAATTACTTCGTAAATGAAGGTAGAGTATCGTGGCAAGATAACTTCGTTGTGACTTATTCAGGTTAAATGTGATTGTATCTAATAAAAATTATGGCATCACTAATAAATGTTTCATTACTATTATAGCAAATTTTTATTGCTTTTATTGGTTCATCAAATAAAACCAAATTAATAATTTTCATACAAGTTCGCCAACATCAAAATCCGTTGAGCCGTTTAGACTACAGAACGGCCAAAAAATAGTCATACTTACATACATACTCTCGAAAAACATAACCCTCCTGTTTCGGCAGAGAAAATAACATAACATTTTTTTAAAATTATATATACGCATGTACACGCATACGACCCACGCCACATTTGTATAAAAAACTACTATTTCTTACCTCAATTTCATCGGCGTCATCTATATTGGACCGTGAAGTACGAGGAGTGTCTTGATCTCCGAGAAATTCAAACATATCGTAGTACCACAATGAAGGTTTATAAATTTCATCAGCCGACGCTCCCGATTTAGTTGATTCTTCAATCTTTCTTTTTTCTCTTCGTACATTACTTCGTAGTGCATTAATTTTTTTACGACATCCTCTTTTGTCGCATTTGCCTCTATTTCTCTTAATTTAGTTAAAAGTTTTTCGTATGCTGCCGCTCTTCTATTTCGGTCATGATATTGTTTATCCTTTAATCGCCATATACAGGGCTCCGATTTATATATTCCAATAAATTCCTCTAAAATTGCATTTCGTTTGCGAGATGACATTATTGCGCAGTGACGCACGACGCCCTATCCCCTCGACGCTTTCCGGATAACTGAAGCCCGCCTGCCACACATGTTCAGTTATGCTTGCGCAAGCGACCTGTGCAAGCATAACCGATCGGTTAAAATACCAATTTCTATATTTTTAATTTTGCTTGCGCAGGCAAGAAATTATGTCATACACACGTTCAGTTCAACTGTGCAAGCATAACCATCGGTTATAACTACGTTAGTACTCTTATTAGTCTGTGGTTATAACCTAGCGTGGGTGGCCAGCTTTAAGTTTTTTTTTTACTAATGTCACACCAAAGAGGATATAATCACTACGTGGTCAAACTTGTCTATCACCAATTCGATGTTTTTTAAAAACATCGATGCATCGAGTATATTGAAAGCTTTTTAAAACATTGGATCGATTCGATGTTTTTCATTGCAAACATCGATGTTTTCGATGCATCGATGTATATCGAATATCCACAATAATAACAATTGAGCTAAGTGCAGTTCGCAGTACTAATGCTCGGTTTCTGAGGTACTTTTATCGGCAGTTTATCAGTGACTTATACATTACTAGCGTAAGGACCAGGCCGACCGAACAACTAAAATGGACCAGTGCACTGGCCCTAAAATTACAGTTTAGGGCCAACGCGAATCGGTCAACAGTTGTGCGCGCGCAGGACAGATTTTCCTGTCACAAATAGTATGTCTAGTTGCTTGATAAAAGACTGCAAAAATTTCGATACAAAGATTTTTAAAAAAACATGGGATATCGTTTCTATTTATTATTATATTTAAAATTTTATTTTGCAGTTAGTTTAGTTACGTTCCCAAGATTAGGCCAGGGTTGGATTCAGACCCTCAAAAATATTGTACATGGAAAATAAAATTATACTATTTTAAAGAAATCATATCACGTTTGACGTTTCATGTTTCTTTTTTCCCATGTGCCGGGATGTGCCGGGATTTTTGCGTCACGCGTCTAGTTTATCTATACATTTCGTTTTTTGACGGTTTTATTTTAATTTCTGTTAAATTTTTGTCTAAACTTACTGTGAGTTAACTTTTAAATATTGTGACCTAATATATTTTATATTAAATAAGGGTAAAATGAAACAAGTACAAAAGAAACCATATCTGCTTAATTGAATCTGAAAATCTGATTCATTAAATATTTTGAAATTCTGTTTTCAAACCGATTGCTTCTGCATAGAGTTTTTATCGTGGTAGCCTCTCATTATAGTTGTATCGAGGTATGCAATATAAATGCATCGGTCCAGCAAGGGAGCTTTTGTTTAGGATTGACCAGAAAGGGAACTAATTCTAATTTTATTATAAAAACGCGGCACTCATGTACAAAACAGAAATTCTAGATATCGTGGGGTTAATATTAAAATGTAAAAGGACCCAATAATATTACAAGTCGACCTTTAGATAAAATTACGGTATTTTCGCTTAGTATTATTACGATACTATGTTACAAATGGTATTATGATACAAACTATGAAATAATGGTACAATTAGGATAATTATACTACGAAATCCGACCCCGGTTACGTCATGATTTGATATGACGTTTGTATTATGACAGATGCGCTACTTTTTCTCGTATGAAAAAGTTTTGAGTAAAATATTTAGATGGGCCTATACTTCCTTTTGAAATCATTGCAGTTTATCTATTTGTTAGCGCTATTGGTTTGTAATTTTATGAAAGTGCATTTCCGAACATCGCAATGCAAGATATGCTCCGTTTAAGCTAAGTTTAATTTAGCTGACCAATCTGTGCCGTTTATCGGTTCTATAACTTTATTTGATGTTTAATTTCAAGCAAACTACATCAACTTTTAGGTTATAACGTGTTATTATTAAAATAAATTGCCAGTAAGCGCTAAATACTTAAATATTAAAGGGATAAAATAATTATTAAAGGTGCAATGAATACGAGCAGCTCTTTTGTGTTTGATTTGAAAGTACTGGAGTTTATTTCTTATATATCAGTACCTATAAAATGAAGGCGTAGGAGAAATCCTTTCGAAGTGTTTACGGATGAAGAATTCCAATTAAGATATCGCTTTAATAAGAACATTGTGATACACCTAAGTGATACCATCAGCTCTGCTGTAGCACCCATTATGAATCGGAAATATACGTTGTCCGTGTTAGAACAAATTTTCATAGCATTACCATTTGATGCTACCGGTACTTTTTAAGTAATAATTGGTGATGACATTAATTTTCACAAACTATTGTATCTATAGTGGTATATAAAGTAAGCAAGGAAACAGCAAAGCTAGCTAGAAGTTATATAAGTATGCCAAATGTTGTAGACCTGAGAGAAGTAAAGACAATTTTTTGATATCGCAGGATTTCCAAATGTAATTGGTTGTTTAGATGAATCACACATACCAATTCAATCTACTGGAGGTGAGCAACAGAACTATTTAGAAATAGAAAAGTTTTGTTTTCTATTAATGTACAAGTTGTGTGTGATACAAAGTTACAAATTCGTGACATAGATGCCCGCTGGCATGGATCAACACATGACAGTACAGTTTTTCATAACTCATTCCTCCGAGCAAGCCTGAATAACAATGAGATAGTTATTCTCCTCCTTGGAGACAGTGCATATCCTTGTGGAATATATATGATGACACGATTTTTAAACTCAGCTACAAATGCAGAAAAACTCAGCAATGAAGCACAAATCAAGACCAGAAATACAGTTGAAAGGACATTTGATGTGTGGAAAAGAAGATTTTCTTGCCTTTCTCAAAATTAAGGCTACAATTGGATCATACGTTAGCTGTGATTGTTGCAACAGCTGTGTTACACAATAAAGCTCTACAGCAATTTGATTCTGTGGCGATTGATTCTGCTCCGGAAGAAATTACAGAATCAATTGAACAACCTCTTTCTTGTGAAGGAAATCAGTTTCGTAGTTTATTGATGGAACGATATTTTAGGTTGGTAAAGTTTTACTTTTATTAGTATCTCCAAAGCTAATTTTACACAATGCTGAATGTGATAAAGCCACAGAAAACTGAGTTTCATCAAAAGTTGCCTGGAGGAAATCGTTGATTGTTATAAGGTTGCCGATGGTTATTATTTACAACAATGTGTATAAAATATTAAAATTTGGTCTTTTTTATAGAAAATGGATGACAAAAAGCATGTAGTCCACCTGATGGTAAGTGGATGCGGGGGCCCCTAGATATTAACATCTATTCTCTATTAAGAATCAAAATGTAGATACATTGTCACCCATGAGGAATCTGTCTCCGCTTGTGTACACTAAGGCTGGGTTCACACGGCATTGTCCTGCACGTTTTCTTTGTATTCGTTTTTTAACGTACAACCACCCGGGTGTTCATACGGTAGATTTTCATTCGTGTAGAAAACGAATAGCAGCAGTCTTCACACAGTTGTCACAGTGAGTAGACGTCTGTGATGGATCCACGCTTGTTTGTACTTTTATAATGGTATAATCGAAGGCGCCAACGGTTTCGTCGCCGACAGAGCAGAAGGTCTTGGGTTCATCCTATTAATGAAGAATCAGGGCGTACTGGACTATTTGAGTTATATGATAAACTCAGAAACGATGAAAAGAAGTTTTTTAATTACTTTCGGATGTCTATTGAAAGTTTTGAAAACTTATTGAATGAACTGGAAATTCAATACAAATACGAATATGCGGAAGTGCATCAGTACTAAAATGAAATTAGCCATCTGTATAAGGTTAGTACACAAATAAAAATATACAGGGTGAAATTATTAAAGTTTTATTAATGTAATGATTAAAATAAGTTTTATTTGACCAATGTAATGTCTTCGTATTTTGTATTAAAAGTCGTTATAATCAATTTCTGTGTAATTAGAATAGAAGAAATCGACAGAGGCCAGACTTTGAAGCGAATCTATTGTAGGGATAGAATTTGTAGTTTGTGGTATATTATTATTTTGGTATTCCGGGGTAAAATATCCTCTGTGAATTAATGGGAAATTGAAAGACGACGACTCTTTCTACTTTTTCAATAATTGTAGCACTCCCATCTGGAATTCGAAGACTTCAATTATCGTCAAACTTATCTAATGATGGTATCATCCCATTGAAAATGAAAGATGCCGATTCATAGTTTTAGGTTCATTATTTGAATAAGAATCCATAAATTACATCAATTCGCATCTAGAGGACTAACTGCGTTCTTCATAGGTCTTTTAAGTATACTTTTAGGTATTGGGCTCAATGTCGCCATATTATCTTGGTCTGTATAGAGTTTGCTTGGGATGTTTTGTTTCCTTCAGAATTATTTTTCTGTTTTTCGGATTCTGCGTTGTTATTTTCGGTAATAACATTGCTTATTGTGTCCTTAGGTTCTAATACTTTTTGCAGAAAGGATAACTTCTTACTATGAACATGAGGTTTTCCTGTTTTAGCGCCACTTCCTGACCCCTTCTGATCTTGTATCTTTTTATATCATCGATTATAATTATCTCTTATATGAGTCCACCTCTGAATAATCAGTTTCGCTGTAAAAGACAAACAAAGTCGGTCTTATTCCAAAAAAAATGTTTTGGTCCTGGTTTAAACCAAGACTGACAGATCCAGGTTTGTTACGGTATTAGCTTTAGCACCAGTATCAAAATGTATTCTTGTTCCAAAACGCAGACTACCCGTGGTCTAGTTAGTACCAAAATTCGTCCTGGTTTAAATATCATCCACAGATAAGAAACAAGAAATTACCTACATTCTTTCATTCGTTCCTACAGGTTTCATTCAATGCAACGTTCTGTTTCGTTAAATATTAACATTATTTTCACACTTAATTATGCTTAAATAATTATTCATCAATACAAAAACGTATTGCTATTTGTTTAGGTAAAAATCTATTGAACACTCACGAATTATACTTTAATTAAAGTGCTTTTTATAATCGTTTTTATTTTAACGACTCTACCGTGAAATGGAGTAAATTACATAGGTACCGCGAGCGCGTGATTAAAAACGTTCAAAATTGTTTATGTTGCGTCTTTATGTATAATAAGTAAATGCTCTTATTTTAATACATTGCATTGATCTCAGTATTGTGGTATTGCAGATAGTAAGGTTTTATTTGGATTATTTGGATCTATATTTATAATAATGGAACAAAAGAAAAAAGGAGTGAAAATTGGAGTTCAGAAGAAAAAGTTAGTGAAACATCGTTATTTATTTGTTAGTGCGTAGCAACGCTCTTATCCTCCTATCATCCTTATTTCGACTAAAAAGAATGTTCTTATTATTAAAGGAAATATTACGTACTTTTATTGCTCATTCGGCACCTATTTTAGAAGATAAGTCAACGAAAACGTGCCTAAACATGAAAAAAATAAAAGAGTGGAAGAATATAACTAATAAGTAAGTACTTATTGCATTTGTTGTGTACAAGTAGGCACGGTATTGTTTACAAGATTTATTCTTTTGTTTTAGATTTAATGAGATACTTAACAGGTAAATGCCGATCAGATGGGGAATTGAAGTTAGCTTGGAAGAGGATAAAATTGTCGGCTAAATCAAACTTATGTACATATAGGAGGGAACGATCAAAAACAGGGGGTGGTGAAAACCACCATCACCTACTCCTGAAGACTTACAAATTATGGCAATTGCTCCTCACGACTTTGTCATTGAAGTTAACGATTATGATAGTGATGCAGTGGTAAATAAAATTACTTATATTTCATACACATTTAATTAAAATGAAATAACTTTATTTTGTATACTAAATATATTTACTAAATTATATAAATAATCTGCCATTAAGGCATACAATTTACAATTCAAAATTATTTTTCAAATATTTAAAACTTAATATACGTATTTAATAATTTCTTTTCAAGTAATTACATTCTTATTCAAAATTGAAATGTCATAAATTCATACATAGTGGTTTATATATCATAACATACATGCTCAGATGAAGTAAAAAAAGGTAGATACAGCGCGGCCTTTCTTATTGGTGAAGCCAAAATACTCCGCTCCTTTATGTAAACACATGCATCAAACTACGCTCATTTTCGCTCAGCACCTCCCGGGACGTCGTGCAGTAAATTTGCCTACAAAATGCCGTCCTGTGGTAATTAAATGGTCCAAAAACAATATTAAAGTGAACAAAAAGTCTGAAGCAATATCGTTTCACTCGTAAACACTCATTTAACTATATTTTAATTTGTTATTCCAACACAATTTTTAATTTAAAAGATTATTCGAAGCACGAATGTCAATGTTTCGAGATTACGTAACGGGAGAATGTTGCCAGTATTTCTTATTTCTAACGATCCAAAATTTGGGTAATTAATTTTAGACTAAGTAATAATAGTGTGGTCAGCATATTTTTTAATTAGTTGTTATAATGTTACATCAAATTGAAGTCAAGGTAAACATTTAAATTTTTAAGTCGTTGATGCTTCTGTTTTAATTGTTGAGTAATTACAAACTATTTTACTATCAAAAAATATTTATGATTTATATAAAGCACGAATAGGTCGGCTTAACCGGGGAAGGACCACGCTCTCACAGAATACCAGCGTAAAATAGTAGCTTAATGCTACTGTTTCGTATGGTGAGTGTAGAACCGGAGACCCTTCTTACTGGAAACGAGGCATTCCATCTTAGTCCTCACGGGTGACAACGCATTTGCATTTTAATTCGTAATCGAAGATATATGTAAATGTCTATGGGCCACAGCAACCACTTACCATCAGGTGGACTGTATGCTCATCTGTCAGCCCATCCTATAAAAATGCTGCTATAAGACTGATCTGAAATGAACCAAATTGGCAGCCATCCTCTTGACCTAACAGTGGTAGAGCCACGCAGCGGTTATTGATGTCGCATGGATGGACCAGCTTGAACCGGGGTGGTACCACGACCTCACAGAATACCTGCGTGAAGTAGAGGTTTACCTCTGCGTTTCGCTTGGGCTGGAGGCCCAATTCCCTCTCCCCCATAACATCGTAGCGGAACCAAATAAAAACTACCCCAAGAGGGTACCCTCACTCCTGGTGACAGAGGATCCCTCGCTGAGCATCCACGACTAAGCTACTTTCCTCTTCCTGAGCGTGGGTGCTTAGGCTACTCCGCGTATTCTGGGGAAGGGAGGGGGCATTCTGCTCGCGACTAAAACTGATAGGTGCAAGCGGAGAAATAAGACCAAGGCGACCCCTGTCACGCTACCCGTGAATTTTTGCAACATCAGGACACTTCATTCTAATCTTAGTGCTGTCCACTACCACCCGGAGACGGCGAAGCTTGCCTTGCTCTTTTAAACCAAGACTCAGGTATCCTCTCCGGCTGATACTTCATATCTCTCCTACCTGGGGTACAAATTAGAACACTGCTTTGTGCCCCCGGCTGGAGTTTGTTCTATTTAGCATTTACTAAAATATACTTTTTTTTTATTTAAAAAAGTATATTTTTAATTCCATGGAAATTTATTTTTTATTCCAACTAGTTTTTTCTAGTATGAAGTTATTTTTTATAATCAACATGTTTTACATCACATATGTTGTATATTTTGTCGATGCTTACATGCTCAGTGGACAATTTATCAAGAAGACTTTTAAATGATCTACAGACACCTCCCACGTGCTTCATCTATTTTAGAATTGTAAAATTGTTGAAATTTTTTAAAAACAGACAGATATACTTTCGCATTCGCATCGCATGTTACTCTTATAGGTCTAGTATTGTATCTCGATTTTGAGGGACTTTTAAAAAAAAGTGGCAACACTTCTCTGACTCACACAAAGTTATAAAATTGGTTACAGTTACTTGTTCTAGGTGCGATATCTACCTTTTTTTACTTCATCTGAGCATACATGTTACTAGATTATCTACACTTGTCGACTATAATTTTCTATTTTATAATCAATAACTTGTATTACCTATTGCCTCGATCGTAATATTTCCACAGCATATAAAATACCTGATTCAATTAAGGGCAATATTATATAGGTAATGACAGGAAAACATGATAATAAATGTTTTAGTGATTCATTTTAGTATCCAGTGACTGTGGCTACAACTACAAAAGAAATATTTGCTGAGCCTAAGCCTTGCCTTAGTTTTAAAAAAACTGACACACCAGTAGATATAACCATAGAATATCCAGAACAGAAAAATGTTGTCGAGGTGCAAAGTAAATAATAATTAGGTATTGATTATTTATTAAAAAGCAAAATATATTATTATTATAGCTATAATTATATTATGTAATACACAAGTTTGTTTCAATATTAAACATGTTTAATTTACTATATTATAATACCTTTATTTATATTAATTTTTAGAGATATCAAAAGATCCAACTACGACAAAAGACACAGAAATGAAAAAAACCAACAATGAAACTGCTAATACAAGGGGCATTACAAAAACAAAAGACAGGAAAAAGGGCTTGCAAAATAGGTATGTTGAAATAATTACTTTAATACATCTCATACTTTTTAACATTTGAAAATTAGTATTTAATTAAACACTAAAAATGTTTCATGTTTTCAAATATTAAAAAGCAAAGTTAATATTAATTGATTGAAAAATAATTATAAACATATTTCTTTTGCCTACAAGGTTAACTTCCTTTCTAGTACATACTTTTATTACTTCATAATACTTAGTACATAAAAAAAACTTACCTGTAAGCTCTGACAGCGCGCGACATGTTATACTCCCGTTCGCTCGGGACCGTAATGGCGGGAAAATTTGCAAATTAGCAAATTTTTTGCTATATTGCAAATTTTGCTATATTTTCACTTTGAGACAATATTTATGGATAAAACTTACAGGAATTCTTGTTGAATGTATAAACTATCGAATAAAATTATTTTTGGTTGCTAGAAATTGTAATAAAATACGTAAATTACCCTGTATAGCATAGTAGTGGCATATACTTTAATTTTAGTGACAAAATTACTACTAATTTGAATTCTACACTTTTGTTTTTAGAGAAATTTATATGAAAATGTTTGGAAATATGTATATTTTTATGTTTTATGTGTTTCCATTCGTTACTCATACCAAAATATTAAAATATAAAATAATTAAAAAAAAATAATAATATTTTCTCTGTGTGACATTTAGAACAATATTTCTAAAATAGTTTTGTGTGAATTTGAAATAAATACAACGTCAAGTTATTTGAAATATGTAAGAAAACTATTTTTACTTACATTTTACACTAAAAATAAATGAGAATTTGAAAAATAACACATTTATGCCCCAACCGCCATAATGGGCCTTCCAGATTTTGAAGCACTTTTGGCAATTTACTTTTCACTTTTTATACCACAAATTATTTATATATGTGTTCACTATATTACAAGGAATATAAAAAAGTATAATACTTTCGTTTTTAGTCCAGACACAAATATAAAATTCTATAAAAAAGACGGAGCACCTTCATCAAAACGACACGTGGAACGCCGAAATTTCAGAGTGATTTTTTTTTTCTAAGAAACATTGCTAGGTTATGGTTTAAAATAAAAGAGCATATCTTTGTCTTTGATACTATTATCTATTGCATAGTGTCTTTGGTTTTGTTTAAAACGAAAAAATAGTTTTTTCATAGGTACACACGTTTACATAATTCTGATCAAATTAGATCACTGCTTGGCGGACGTAAGGTAGGTATTGTACGATCAAAAGTGCGCATGGCTTGGCTTACAGGTAGTATTCTATTTAATTTTACAGAAGAGAAGATATACAGCAAACAATCATAAAAAGCAATACAGATTTAAAAAAAAAGACAACTAGAAATGATGGAAGAGGAACATATATACAACATTAAAATAGCCAAATTGAAAATTAAAAAATTAGAATTACAAATATCTTTGTTAGAAATTAAAAAAAATACAAGTTAAATAGCAGCTTAATGCTAGTGTGTTTCATATGGTGAGTGTATAGAACCAGAATAGAATAGAATATAATGATTTTTATTCAATATAGATTATTACATAACATTTATTCAAAAGACATTTTCTATTCACCACTGGTATGGAAAATACCTCTGTCCTGGGAAGAACTAGCAAGAAACCCAGCGAGACTTTTCTTTTAAACATATTTCACTTTACAAATTTTGGTTAACAATTTTTAAATTGATTTTAATAGAAACAGTATAGCAGCGATCACCTCCTTTGCAGGGGTTATTTTCATTTATGTATCCTTTGATATTATAATAACCCTTTTATATAATTTTTCTTTAGTAAAACATTTATGCCCAAATACTTTAACACTACTCAATTTTAAGATGCAGTTAAGTCTCGTGCTATTTCTATCACTAAGTCAAAGTGAATGTGACACCACAAGACTTAACAACATCTTAAAATTGAGAAGCTTTCGAGTATTTGGTCATTAAACTTTTATATTGACAAATATTGTATTTGAGACCCCTTTTACTGGAAACGAGGAATTCCATTTTAGTCCTCACAGGTGACAACGCATCTTCATTTTGATTCATAGTCGAGGATAGATGTAGATGTCTATGTGCCACAGCAACTACTTACCATCTGGTGAACTGTGTGCTCGTTTGTCACCATCATCCTATTAAAAAAAAACTAAATGTTCAACATTACATCAGATACATGTTTGTAAATATTCTGATATATGAAATTATTCTTTTCAGGTACTTATTTGCTGCAAATACCTGTAGGTCTACTCTAATTCAACGAAAAACGAAATTTCGATCGAAATTTCGCTCAATTCCTACCATGGTTCCATTCGATTCGAAACTTCGTTGAAACGAAATTAGTTTGACGTTTAAATTCTCTAAGCCTACTCTATTGCACTAAAGTTACGAACGAAAATTGAAGTTTGACAGATTTAGTTGTTCGTAATTTTAACCTCAAATTGACGAAACCAAAAGTGTTAACTTTTTATTTTCGTTTTGGTCGATTTTGTTAAAAATTTAACTAAAATGGCTATGAGACAGCTTTTAATCGCGGCTGCTTTACGTGAAGAACGATTGGAGCGTAGAAGGAACCGGCGCCGCCTGCGTATCAATTCAATCAATTAAATATTTCAAATATTCCCGATCTAGAGTTTGTCGGAACACTCAGTCGAATTATTCGAAGAGTTGTGCCAGGACATAGTGCCTTTATTGCCTCCAAAGGGAAGACGACATGGAATCGAGCCCACACTTAAAGTAAGTTTAAATTGTTTAAACACTCCCTTCTCTTTAATTTTTCATTTTACTGTTCATAAGCCTCAATCTGTGTTAATGTATTTCAGATACTTACTGCTTTGAACTTTTATGCCCGAGGAAGTTACCAGGGGTCAGTGGGACAAAATATGGATGGGCCCATGGCACAACAGACAGTGTTCCGTTGTTTACAAGAGGTAACAACTGCACTTAATGCACCCCACATACTAAGGAAGCACATAAGATTCCCACAAAATAGGAATGAAAGGAATCTTATTAAGCGGAAGTAAGTACTTACCTTCCTATCTAGTATTGATCGTTAAACTTATTAACATGTGAAATACCTAGTAATTAAAATATTATTCTGTTATTTTAAACGAACAATTTACATAAAAAGTGTGCCAAGACTAGGCAATTAAGACATGCAAAAACAAATATAATTTTATTGCACAATTTACTATTGTATAATAATATTGTATCCTTATTGTAGATTTTATGATTAACTATCATCATTAAAATTAATGTTGATAAATATGGGCTACCTGCTGTGGTGAGGTGCATCGATTGTTCACATGTAGCCATAGTGAGGCCTTCGGAGCACGAGGAACAATATTTTAATCGAAAACATTTTCATTCGATTAATACTCAAGTTGTAAGTTTATGAACAACATTTTAATGTTTTTATTATGACATTCACTATTTTATTACTTACATTTTATCCTATGTTACATTGATGGAAATTCTTTTTGAGATATGTGACAGTGATTTATTAATTACAAATGTTGATGCGTGGAGCAACTCACGACGCTTATATTTGGAGGTAATGTGAGATAAGAAACCACTTGGAGGGTCTCCAGGATGAAATAGTTTATCTATTAGGCATGTCTTGATTTATAGTTTTGATATTCATTATGTATAAGTAATGCGATGATGCAATTTACACTAATATTATATTTTTAAATTTTTAGGTGATTCTGGTTATACTCTAAGGGAGCATATGATGACACCTGTAGATAATGCTGTTGAGAACTCTCCAGAGGGAAGGTACAATTACCTCCAAAAACGTGCATGCTGCACCATAGAACGCACATTTGGTGTATTGAAGGGTCGATGGAGATGTCTTTTGGCAGCTAGAGAACTCCATTACTGCCCAGAAACAGCAGGTAAAATTATATTAGCCTGCTGTGTTTTACACAACATGTGTATAAGGGCTGGTATTGAAGGTCCCGAGTTGACTGAAGAGGAACACCAATCGGAGAGAACCAGGCAGGTTCCCTTTGAAACAGCCGCATCTTCTACTCAAGCTCTACAGGCAGGTCGAAGGGCAAGGAATTCATTAATACAAATGTTAGAAAGGAACCGGTAAGATAAACTCAAACCAAACAATTGTGCAAGTAGATTAAAATAAACTCAATTACAAACTTTTTTTTTGTTTTAGGAGATAATCATCATCATATCAGCCACATTTAAGCCGTTTATTTGTGATTAAGTAACAATCAAAATCCATACTTTCTCATTTATATTATAGGATTAGGAATTAATATTACTGAAGTGTGTGGCACTCACTTCTTACTTAAAACATACAGTTCTTCTTATCTTGTTATAATTTTAAGCAATGCGTTTTCTTTAATGTTAACTTTTATGTCTAATGAATTTAGTTAATATTGCATATTGTACAACATTCTTGTAATAGCCTAATTAAAATATTTTTAGACAATTAATTATTTCTGTTTTATTTTTTCACCTACTTATCGTTATCCTACCTACCTAGATGTTCATAAAATGGCAACAAATATTTACTTAATCCTTACCTATGACATTGCAGATATTTTGTCACATACAGAGAAAATAATAACTTCTATGATTTTAAATACTTAACAGTATCTTTATATTATATCGAATTATGGCCATGATAATCAACTATCAGTAATAATAAAGTTCTTATTTTAGCTTTCTTAATCTGAAAGTACAAATAGTCTCAAAAATAGTAAAAAGAAACAATAGTATTCTAAAATAAATTTATTTAAAACCTAACGCCTATTTTGCCTTAAAAACTCTAAATAATCTCGCCCTATGTCACGCAACTCTTCCAAGGCAGCCCTGATGCCTGCGAGCTCGGTGTTCCTCACTGTCTCTCTTTCTGCATCTTCATACTGATACAATCTGTGCTTCTGACTTCGGAGCCAGCAGCAGATCGTATTCTTCTGGGACGTGCAGATTGTGAGGCTGCAAAACAACATTCCAATATGTTACATTGCAGTAAATACTTAATCAATAAGTATATTTTTTGTGACAAACAATATTTTTCTTGTAATTTTAATCTCGACTGTAGTTTAGTGGTAAGACTTTCATGTATCAAATACATCCATACATACCTTGTGTATCAATTTCGATCGAAATTTCGTTTTTCGTTGAATTAGAGTAGACCTGCTGGCTTTCTTTGCTTGGGTCGGCGTACTCCTCAACTTCTACATGCAAGTCCAGGCTCTGCTGCTGCAGTTGGCTTCCTTGACTGTAGGTTGACGGTCTGCATTCATTCCTCTGAAATGAATATAAAAGATTGAATGCTTAATGTTTAAGTGAAGTATTAATTTTTAATGTCTACCACAATACAAATTGTATTGTATTTTTACCTGATGGGTTAAAAAAAAGTAGCATACTCACATAGAAAAATAATTTTGTAAATAAAAATCATATATCATTAAGATAAATATTTGAACATATCAAAGTTTAGAAATAGGGAAACCAAAGAATGATGAGGTACTTACGTCATTGAAAGCTGGCACTCTGGCTCCAATTTGGCGGTCACCGAACCCATCTCCCATTATGGATAAGACTTTTAATTCCGAATGGAAGAGTTGGAGTGCCACCGATGGACCACATACAGTCATTGAAGCCGACCTCCGGGAATCAGCAGCGGCTTTTTTGGCCAAATGTTTTCTATCAAACCATACCTATCCAAAATAAAAGTAAATATTAAATCTTTGTCACTCACTTTTCACTGATAAATAGCTTAAGCATTTAATTATATTACTACGAATTACCTTTTGCCACTGCTGAACTGTCTTTGTGCAACCGCCCATGGAATTGAGCGTATTGCACAATTCATCCCACAGCCTCTTCACCTGGACTTTTCCTTCTAGACTCCTCAATCTCCCGCGAGCAAGATCCCTATGCTCGTCCAGGAAATTGAGGAGTGCATCAATTTGTTCAGGAGTAGCCGAACCCGTATGTGGAGCCATTATTTTACACTGAAAGATGAGATGAAAATAAATTATAAGTACCTATTATTACAAAAAATATGTTATGGAAGTATTATAAGTGCAAAACAATTAACATTACTTACACTCTTTCTGAATATAAAACCAAATTAAACCAAATAGAAGTCTTTGTGGACCAAAGGACGCCCATATGAAGACTGCGACTTGAAATTGAAACTTTGTCAGGGAATGTGTATCGCATTTGCAAAGTAGGCAAAGAAAAAAACAAAACATATTAATAACTCTTCACTTGAGCACACAGGAAATAATCTCTACCTACGTCTTACACTTGAGCTTGAGAAACAATCTTAAAACTATTCAAACTTTCAAAGAATGCAAACAAAAAATCCACAAGTGATGACTGACAGCATTGTGATAATACGGATAAGTTTGGTTGTTATACGATACTATAAACACCGTTTGTTATTATTGTACACCTTAACTTAGTCGGTTAACGGTCATTGAAAGGGTTATTTTAGTGTCACTGTGATTTTCTTCGAAAACTTGTATATTTATTGCTTATGTAAGATTTTCTGGAATAATATGCATAAAAAACCATGATTATTTTATAAATTCGTAAAATACATAACATTGTTCGTTCCATTCGTTCACGAAAATTGTCTATGGACTCGAACTTAGCGTGCGCGTCCGAAAATGATATAGAGTAGGGTCAGACACGAAACTTCGTTTAAATTTCGTTCGATAACGAAGTTTCGTTTCGGAGAAACAGAGTAGGCCTTCTGTACATCTTTCAATAATAATTAAAATAATAATAAACTAAACCTAATTACTTAATTATCACACAGTCCTATTTCCCGTGAACCCTTGCACCTTCATAAAAAAATCTAAACAGATCTCTACAGCACTTAAAAGTCTATATAACATAGCTTCATATTGATGTGGAATATGCTGTACCCCACATCTTTCCCTGAAACACAATCATTATGGCCTAATTAAAAGCATTTTGCTCATTAAATTAAATATTATCACAGTACTTCCCGGGATTTATTCCATATTGGTGAAAATTGTAATATATAGTTGTTATTCTTTGACAGCTTAAAACGGCTCAGCGGAAAGATTTTTCTTTATAAATGAGTATTATGTCCGAAATCAAAAAATAATTATTATTATAATTGTCTTATATATTTATTGACCTCTTTATTATATTATTTTTATTCACTGAAACTTGGACCCTAAATTACAAAATAAAATAAATTAAATGTACATATAGCGATAATTGATAAATTGTAATAATTTTATAAATTTAATAATAAATTATAAATTTTAATTATAAATTGTTATATAAAAATTGTAAAAAAAAAATGTTTACCTACTGAAAATGAGTTTCTCTTCTTCTGTCTTCTCCTAATATTTCCCCTTATTGATAGTGGAATATAATTTTGTACTATAGGTTCAGATGAATATTGTTCAGTGCTATCTCCCTCATCAGAAAATGCATCTTCTCTCATGTCTATGGCAATATTGTATAGTACAGCACATGCAACAATTGTTTTTTTTTTGCTGTTTCAATGTCCCCAAACATACCTCTTAATAGGTAACGAAACCGTTGCTTCCATAAACAAAAACATCTTTCCACCTGGTTCCTGGTACGGATATGACTCCTATTATATCTTTCTTCTTGTGGTGTTGTGGGGTTCGGCAGTGGTGTAAATAGGTATGGAGTACAAGGATAGCCGCTGTCACCAAGTAATATTCCAGAGAATGCACCAGCCTCAAACCTCTGTTTTAGTCTACATTCGCGGAATATTCTAGTCATGTAAGCTGCCACGCCACCTAGTAACAATGTCCATGATTTTCAGATTAGCATCACAAACCACCTGAAAAGTGAGAGCTCATTAGTACTTTGTTTTACTGATATAGATTAGTTATATTTTATTGTGCACAAAAATTGTAACAGAACATATTACTATTTTAATCTACATTTTTTGACATGAGATAGTCAAACAAATTATTTTCTATTTTGGTAAAGTAAAGTAATTTAGACAGAATCACAGATTATTTAAAATATTTGTACATTACCTGTACATTAATTGAAGAAAATCCTTTTCTATTAATATTGTTAAGTTGACATCAGGCACTAGCACCATCTAGTGTCGGGTAACGGAGCGAGGGGAGAGCTTTCCAGAAAATGACATCACTAAATCTTTCAACCGATAGCGCCATTTGTTGTCGAAACGAAGAACTAAGCTTCTGGAAGCTGACTCTCGAACTTTCGGCGCTTTGTCGATTGGTGCGTGTATTTACTTGAAAGTCCTGGATGATTCGGTACTAATGAGTATTTATAGGCGCTGCAAGGTGCGATCGGGGAAGTATTTAATTTGGCGAGACAAGCGAAGCTTCGGAGCGGAATAAAGTGAAACAGTGTGATTAATTATTAGTGTTTTAAGTTTTAATTGGTGTAAAGAAAATTAAAGTGTTAATTTAGGTAATTCTATCGGCAATTTTTATTGTCACGAACCTCAAGCTCGTAACAATTGGTGTCAGAAGTGGGATAAAATCATGCCGATTTTACCTAAGGAGGAAACGGAGGGTGTCCGTACCAGAAGTCAACGCCAGCAGGAGACGGACAAAAGTAGATTTGGTGGTGCAACGCCGCAGACGTCGGAGGGCCAGCCGCCGGCTGCAAGCCCGTCAGTAGCTCCTACATCTGCAACACCTGATTTAGGTGCTCTGATGGCGATGCTACAGGAGCAGCTTCAGCGCGGACGAGAGGAACAGGCCCGTCTGTTGAAAGAATAGCAAGAGGAACAGGCTCGCCGACAGGAGGAACAGGCTCGCAAGCCGACAGGAGGAACAGGCCCGTCGTTTGGAAGAGCAGCTGCGGGACGGACAAGAGGAACAGGCCCGTCGGTTGGAAGAGCAGATGCTCCTCATGAAGGACCTTCACGCTACCTTCGGGAAGGAGATCAAGGAGGTGAAGGATAGGGTTGCTCAGCATGACAACCGCCTGTCAGAAGCTGAAACCCAAATCGCGAAAGCTGAAACCCGAATCGAGAGAACTGAAACCCGAATCGACTAAGTGAACAATCGGGTTGACAACGTAATGGCTGACATGAAGAAATCACTGGACGAACTCAAACTTGGGGATGGAACTACAGCTCCCGTAGTAGCTACTACACCTTCGCTACGTGGGTTCAAGGTGCCACCGTTCGACGGGACTTCTT